TCACTCAAAAAATTATGTTCTCAAAAATTCAATCATATAATTTAATTTAATATTTAACTAAGAACTTTCTTACTCTTTCATCTTCTTCTTCAATTTAAATTTCAATATTTTAGCAGATTTTTGTATGTTTAATTGATTAACAATTAATTGCTTATAAAAATTAAAAACTTTTTAAATTTCTTTATGTATTCATTTTTTTCTTTCAATTTTTTTTTATTGTTTTTTTCTCCTTTTTTTCAAAAAAAAAAAAAAAAAAAAAGAAAACAATCTCATTAATTCATATTCAAAAGTACTTCGAAATTTATTCCAAAAGTGTAAGAACAAAAAACAAACCAAAAATGTTAGAATAGAAAATAAACTTTGTTTATATAAATTTATTATTTTATTGCTCAACAATTTATGATTTTTCATTTTCATTTGCACATTATTCATTGCTTTTTTGTTTTTGCATAATTTATCAGCTGTGATTAATTTATTTATTTTAATATGCAATAACAAATTATCCAATTTTTTTATCGTATATTCCATTGCTTATCAAAAATATCTGATAAGAAAATATTACTTAGTCTTTCAACTGATTACAATTTCACATATTTGAAAAAAAAAAGAAATGCAATTTACAATTAACTGCAATTTACGGCTAAATGCTTTTTACGACTAATTGCAAATTTGAACAAAAATCTTTTGGAAATTAACCGATAAATTTGTTGCATAATTAAAAATTATTTCTTTTTTTTTTTTTTTTATAAATTGCATAGAAATTTTTTTGAAAATTTGACAAAAAAAATTTTAGCATAAAAGAATTTTTGCTTTCTCACTCAGTAATACAATGAAAAATGTTGACGAAAAACGAAAGTTTAGAAAATTATGTGAAAGATTTGATGAAATTTGATTTTCAAAAATTTGAAGTTATAATTTAAAAGCAACTGAAATTGAAAGCAATAACAAAATTGTCAATAATTACATTTTTTTTTATTTTTTTTTTAATATTTATTCCTAATTAATGAATGCAAATAAAAATAGACAGTAAGAATCTATGAATATAAGTAAATTTACTACTTCTGAAATAGTAATTTACTACTTTTGAAATATTAAAAATCTATGAATATAAATAATTTACTACTTCTGAAATATTATTAGACTAATTCTTCAATTTTAATTATATTTTGATGCTACAATTAAGTCATCCAAGTTATATGCAAATTAGAATGAATGAAAAAATTTTTTTAATTTGTTATTTTTTTTTTTTCGCAAATAATTTTTAGTCAAATGTAATTCTTTTTAAAATTAACTAGAAATGGTTGATTTGAAAAATTTTTAGTTTATGGTTAAGCTAAACTATTAATTTTAATGATAAAATTTTAAATAGAAAATGATAATTGCTAATTGTCATGCAATATTTTAAGACATTTGCATGACAATAAAAATTTTTCATCACATTTTAAAGCTCTCATGAACTCATGAAAGTATTAAAGTAACAAAAATGAAAATTCACGAATGAAGAAAATGAGAATTTCGTTGAGAAATAAAAAATTGCTACAAATTGTATAAAATTAAAAAATTTTTTATTGATGTCATTTGCATGTCACTCAATTCATCAATAAATACATATAATAAACAAAAAAAAAAAGCAAAAAAAAGCATAGCATTTTCATTATTACTATCATTGCGATAAAAGAATGAAATTTTATTGAAAGAAATTATTGTTTAATGAAATTTTTTATAATTGGTCGAAAAGAAAAATTCTATTTTCATCTTAATTTTCAAATTTTTTTTGTTTTGATTTATTTTTTCAAAAAAAAATTATTTCAAAAATTTTTTTTTTAAATTCATATTTTTTAAAAAATTTTTATTTTAATCTATGCTTTTTTTTCAAAAAAAAAAAAAAAAATCATTCTATTTAGAAATCTCTTGATTTTTTTCAGGATAATTTTATTTAAAAAAAGAAAAAAATCGACCTAAAATAGTTTTTTTTTTTTTTTGAAAACATATATAATAATTTTGTATTCATTGTATAAATATGAAAAAATATTTATAAAGTTTGAAAAATTCAGAAGAATTTATTAAAAGAAAGGTTTTATGTTTAAAACAACTATTTAGCAAGTTTTCAAAACATCTCAGAACAAAAGTTTCACATTAAATTTTTTTTCCTTTTTTTTTTTTTTTGCAAATTGGAAGTGGTATTGATAAAGCGAATGATTTTAACCGGTGCATCCGGTTTGCAATTCGGTGATTGATGAGAGTTTCGTGAACAAATGCGCCATAATGAACTAACAATATCAAGAATGGTTCAAATCACTAAAAAAGAAACTTTTTTTTTTTATTTTTAATGATTGAAATGAAATGAAATTATAAATTCTTAAATTAAATGTTTGAATAGAATCTTTGCAATTAAAGTATTAGCATTTGCAATTTTATGCTTTTAAATTTTCAAGAAATATGCATTTTAAAAAAAAAATTTAACTATTTTAAAGCAAAATTTTTTTATACAACTTTCAATTAAATGAAATAGCAAAAAAAAAAAAAAAGTAAATAAAATATCATTCATAAAATTTCCACTTTATTTATTTAATTTATTTTATAATAAAATGCTAACTTTTTTAAAATTTTCTTTGATTAACTTAAAACAAAAGTAAAAAAGGAAAGAATGAAGGAAAAAAAAAGGAGTAAAATGATTTGAAAGATTCATTTTTAGAATTAAAAAGTATTAATTGAAATAGAATTCAAGACCTAAATAGTTATCATTCTCTTTCACATCAAAATATTGAATTGAGAGCCGTAAGCATTTTTCATCCGTCAAAATTAATTACATTTGAAAAGTTGGAAGAGCAGAAATCTCTTGAAATAAGATAAATTACTTAAGATAAGATTTACTTTTTGCTGGCAGCTTAAGCTATAACTCATAGTAGATTAAGATAATAAAGTTAGAAATTTGAAAAAAAAAAAGAATAATTTTTAATTTCTAATTCAAATTCAAATAAATCTAAAAAAAAAAAAAAGAAAAATAAAAAGTGAAAAGTAAAAAAAAAAAGAAAAAAGAAGAAGAAGAAACGATGTTTTGGCTATTTTAAATAATGCAGCAATCGTATAATATAATTGTATTTTCATATAAGTGAAGTCAACAACGAATAAAATTTTTGCCCAATATAAAGTTGTTCGCTAATTTAAAATTTCATTTTTGATTAGAATAATAATCATTGCTATTACTGTAGTGCTTTTAACTATTTATAAATCATAAATAGCAAATAACCAAAGTGTTAATTTTTCAATTAATTTTTTTTTGTGATAATAAAGCAATTTATTATGCTTTAACAGTTTCATGATTTTTTTAAACATTTCAAACATACACTTATATTATTTAATCTTCATAATTATCATTTTCATATTTTAAAATATAAGTGATAAACAAACTGCATTAATAGATTATAGCTTTGCAAAATGAACTAATGAAAATTAAAATAATTAGATTACATTTAGCATATGCTTTCAAAATTTAAATTTGTATTTTTTCAACTGCAATTACATATTTCGTTGCTTATTGTATTTGTAGCATTTTTAATTCAGTAAGTATTCTTTATTCTTTCATATCACAGTGATATTTTATCTTTAATTTTAATTATTTTAATATAATTAATATTTTAGTAAAATTACAGTTTTAAAAATCAAATGTTTGCATTATTTTGCTATCAGCAATTGAACAATATGGTAACAATCACTTTAAGTAATACTAAATTTTATTGTTTTATTAAATTCACAATTAGAATACACACCAATTAAGTAGCATTTTAAATTTTTTGTCTATTTGGCCTGCTAAAATAAAACATATCACTATTAATTAATATTATCATTATTATTGTATTATTAATTTGCATTATTAATATTAAAATAAATGACCTTCAACATTTACAAGTTCATCAATAACTTTGTTAAGTTTGGCAATATCTTGAGAAAATATTTTCGATTAAAATGCTTACTATCAAATTTTCAGATTCAAAAAAAAAAAAACAAATTATAAAAAAAAAAGATGAATTTGAATTAACAAAAAAATTACCGCAATAATAAAAAATCATATTTGAAGCTAATACCATGCTTCTTCCATCCAGCTAATTCTATTTCAAATATTTCAACAACTACACTTCTCATCAATCAGTATCGATTGAAGAACCAATGAAAAACCATTAGTTGCTTAGATGATTTTTTTTTTTCTTTAAAATAAGTTCAATTTTATTCATTTAATTTCCTCGAGTAGGAATAGTTAAAGTTAATACAAGAAATATCAAAAATTTAATTAAATGCTGAATTTAAATTACTCAAAAATCAATCTTACTTAAACAATTTTGAATTTTATTAAAGAATTTGAATGGAATTAAAAATCACTAATGTTTTCAATTCAAAAGAATGTGTCATTTTAAGCAATCATTTATTCTTTTACTTTTTCAGTTGACTTTTTTCTTTAAAAAAAAAAAATGTTAACATGGTTTTTTTAAAAAAAAAAAAAAAAAAAATGTTGTGAACGTAAAAAAATAAAATATAACCAATATTTTTATCGTGAAATAAAAAAAAAAAAAATTGTTGCATTCCGTTGTTAATGATTGTCTGTTTTGAACAATTGAATAATTTCAGTAAAATGTTTCTTTCTTATGAATTTTTAACAGCTAACAAATCAATCGTTTCTCACTATTCATCATGCAATTTTTAGCAATCTTGCTAATTATTTGTTGCTTTTCCTCCAATTTTAATTTCTTTGAGTTGCATACTTTTTGTAAGTTACTTTTTTATATTCATTAATTATAGAAATTTTAAAATTTCTATTTCCTGCTTTTCGAAAAATTCTACTGTAAGAGATCATCTAAAAATTTCAGCGCTTTTTGCTTCTACTAATGGTGAATAAAGAGAAACAAAGATGAATTTGAAAGTATTTTTCATTCATTGTAAAAGTATCTAATCAATCAAGTAAGTATTTTTTTTTTTTTTTTTTTTTTTTTCAGGTTTTGCTCAGTATGACAGAATTGGAAATAAATTTGAACAAATTCGAGATGCAGGCTTTTATAAGAAGCCAGGTTTGATGCAATCTATTGTTTTGACATCATTGCATTACAGTTCTGTAAAGAAAGATTAATTTTAGGTTAAAAATATCCCGAACGTATAAGAAGTTACGGCGAGGAACAGAGCAGCGGGAAAGGTAAGCATTATCTTAAACACAGAAAAAAATCGGCGAACAAGAGAAAAGTTCAATGTTGCATTTCGTTACAACATTATTTGAAAAATTTGCGAACTTTAGGATTTTCCTCAAAGCAATCCACAGACAACAGTGATCCTTCTAGTGAAAAGAAACTACCCAACAGCAGCAACAATCAACAACTGCAACAACAATGATCAAAATCTTTCCGATTTTAATAAAAAGAAATTAAAGAGCTGTTATGCTAACCATTTGTAAAATACATTTCAGTTTATTACAAATTACAACAAAATTATACAAATCAAATTAAAATAAAATAGTAACTCTCAATGTAATTTAAAAAACATTAGTGAACTAGAATTAAACACCAAATATCGTAATTTGCATTCAGTACAAACACAAAAAATATAGCCAAAATTTTGCTCTCATGTACATACCATCTTTAAAAGCTATGTATTAAAAATAAGATGTCAGAATGCATTAACTACCTTTTCATCCATAGAGTTTGAAGATCTGCCTAGAAAAAAATGAAATAAAATAACATTTACCTTTTGACTGCAGGCATTCATAAATAATAGGTGAATAATCTATAAAACATAGGTATAAAGTCTTTTTGATAAAAGAACGAATATAAATAAACGAAGGAATTCAAAGAATTCCTAAGTCCTAACTCCGAGAGTTTCCAAAAAACTAATCAAATATACAAATTTTTTCATTACATTTAATTTACGACACTAAAGTCGATATGTTTGAGCACGCTGTGTATGACCATCAAAAATAAATGTATTATCGAGTGGTATATACTGATGCGTAATTAATTTTATCACTTCTTGTGCTGTTATACCACCAACCAACGAAGCAATAACATGTAGTTCAGACGCACCATAACGACACATTTCATCGATTGCTATCGGGGGGATTCTTTCTATCATTTCGCTTTTATCCTCTAACTGCAGAGATTCAAAAATTTGATTAGTAGGATTAAAAATGTGATTTTAGCTTTTAACATTCGATTAGTGTGCATCATTTGCTGTTATCAAAGATCTATTTGGTAATGAAGCGAAAACACATTTACTAAGCAGACTACGCTAATTTTTCCTACAAAGTTATAAATAGAACTGGACAAGCTGAAATGTGACCCAAACATCATCTTTCAGTGGATGGTAACTAAGGTAATTCCAATACCTTAAATTTAAACTGATCATTCATCACATAAAAACATTTCTGGAAATGCTGTTTTTGGAAAAAAAAAAAAAAAAAAACAAAAAACAAAACTTTCATTTAACGAATTAAAAATGTAACAAGAACTTACTTCAGTCTCCATGACTAAATCAACTACTCTTGCTTTAAGATCATACGCATCTATAGTGCACGGCACGCCATTTGTTCCTGGGAAACGTGATTTTTCGGAGTGAAATCTTAAATTATTCGTGTTAGCGAGGGAAAACATAAACCAAAACTTAGCAAAATTCCTACAAGTTTTACGAAAATGAAGAGTCATAAAAGTCCTTACGCTGATACATAACATGCAAAAAACATACAGAAATAGTGATTAAGAGCGAAAAAAGTTTACTTACCTATCGATAGCCCTTAATAAAATATACCACACCGCCGGTGGTATCTGAGGAACACCAGTTATAGGACTAGGTGCAAAGTTAGCATTTCGTATGTCATCAAACACTTCCTGAAAAATTAATTAGCCACGTGCAAGCTTGTCTATTGTGTATATGACATGCAAAAAATATTACTTTATACATTTCACTTTCACCAAATGGAATAAAAGTCATGTATGACTCGATGTTCAGCTGAATAAGAATAAGGAAAGATTATAAGATCTTTTATATTGTTAAACATAAAGATTCCCAACACATTTATTGCAACTTCAGAGTTTAATCAAACCTTCAACGATGACTTCATTTCTTGAGCAATGGTTGTCCCATGTTGTACTCGCAGATATGCAGCTTTCTTGCAGAAAAATTCGCAATCATTAAAATTGATAATATCGGTTGGTACGCCTTGTTCTACGAGAAATTGTTGAAGATAACCCATCACCTGAAGTTGAACCATAGTATATTATTATCATTAACTCCGACCACTGTTTCTAAGCACTTTACCACTGTCTCACACTGTTGTGATTATAAATGGCTTAATCGTTTTTTTTTTTTTTCGATGTCATTGACATTTTTGATTACTTAATAGCAGTCAAAAATTTACTTATGTAAAGCAGGACCTCATTTCGAAACTTAAAATTTGAGTTGCTAATTTTTCCAATATATGTAATCAGAAATCTCCAGAATTTAATCATCGCACCAATGTATGAAAAGCTTTAACTCTCAGAACTGCTTTAAACAAGAACCCAGACCTCCTTTGCATCTTGCTTGGCCTTATCCCGAAATTTCGTCGCTAAAAGAACATAGCTTTCCGAATCACTGATCATATCAGGCAAACTACCTTGTACAGGCAATACTTCATTGGCAATGACAAAACGTCGCAAAGCTGCAGTCAACAACCAAAACTGTGTCAGATCTGGTCGTCGTGCTTTCGGATGATCTAATAATTCTTTCACTTCCAGTGGTATCTGAAAACAAAAACCAAGAAGTTTTGGAATAAACTCAAAACTTTAAATCACTACTCATCAAAAATTACTAGTATTATTATCTCATGATAAACACCAACTGTTGTTCGTTTCAGTGAGCGAACCATTGCAGCGTGACCTTCGACAAAATTTTCCTCTCGATAGGACCCATTTTCGGGATGCGGCATTCGTAGTGACATAAAAATCTAAACAAATACCCATCTTAAAAAACTTGCTTCTCCTCATTTCAGAGAAATATAATTAAGGTTCTGCGAAAAAATAACCAAAACTAGTAGTTAATAAAGGATGAAAAAAAAAAAAAAAGAACGTGAGATGAATTTGAAGAGCTAACTACAGTAGCCTAACAGTTAAGTACTTACCGTTTCAAATGTTTTCCTTTTTTCACGATTATCGGGAAAATCATCTTGACTGTATTGCTCTCGCCATAGTTCAAGCGTTTTTAGAAATAAAATTAAGTATGGCGTGTGAGAATGAGCATCATAATGCATCTGGTTTAGATCTACCGACTCTACCAATTCAGATAATGCCGGAAACGGACAGTCAAGCCTGAATACCATAAAATTGACTATCAGCGCCACTTGAAGATGCCATACCTGCAACCATGGCTGAGGACTTGGGACACAATTTAACCCCGTCCACCGTCTAATAATCGGCTTTAACAGTCCAGTTCGTTTCCTTCGCAAAATACATGTAAATAATTTAACCATCAGTAAAGGAATTCCATGGACTCAATCTAAAATATAGGAAGAAAATAAATCATAAAAATCAAAAACTGGCATTACCTTAAGTCGGGCGATATATTTTCTTCATGTGTGTCAATAATTGTGTGTTCTTGGACGGAAATTCGTACAAATCCGACAAAACCATATGCCCTATAATCAAATTTTTTGAGTGCTGTTTTACTGCTTATATACAAAACCGAAATTTAATATCCAGAATGACAAAACCAACAATCTTAAAAAAAAAAAAAAATTCAGAGAAGTATTTAAAATTTATGTTCTATTATCAAACTTGATCAAATTACTACATTTATTGCATTTTTTTTCATGCCTATGATCATAACTTATATGCTCAGTGTGAGATCTCCATTAAAATATGAAGTTCTAACCTTGCATGAACGAAAGGTATATTTTTCCCAAACAAGAAGTCATTTATTCGTGCAGCAACATCAATATTTAAATTGCATCCAACAATAACAGTGAACTGTCTTAAAAAATTCGTGTCTTTGGTAATGATATCTTCAGGATTCCCTATATCAAAGTCGCCTTCCACTGCTGGATTCAGCTCCTGGAAGATAGTGAATAAAAGAATAGACTCATTTCATTAGCATTCTTAAACCAACTACTTCTTTTACATCATTCAAGATTTCTGTGAAACCTAATATTTTATAAGTCAGAATAGAAGGAATCAAGAACACTTTTACGCTTGACATTATATGTTCCAGTAGCAAGTTAACCATCGATCCGTTGACGTTTTTGACATTCAAAAGCACTTTATTTTGCATCAGAACAAATTTAAAAGTTCTCGCAATTCAAGCGAATAATATACCGTAAGCAATCGTAGCGCAGCTTTCGCTCTTGGTTCATCGATTTCATCAACAAAAAAATTATTGCCTAAATCCGGTTTACGTACGACGGCAGAATCGATGATGTACACTGATCTGATACCAGCAAGCACTAAACTTTTGATAATTTCGCATCCCAAAGCAGATGCACTTAATACACAAACACTAGCATGCTCAATACATGACTGACCCTCATCACCCCAAAGACGAATTTGCCGATCATATCGTGCATCGTCTTCCATTATTGTTACTTAAACCCGTTATCCTGAAACTTTTCTCTTATATAAAAAAAATCACCGCAAAAAGTTAAAACATGTAAAAATGATACATAATTATAAATAAAACGAGATTTATTCGATAAAAAATATAAAAAAAAAAAAAAAAAAAAGATAAAAATATGATATAAAAAGTACCATAAAAGATAATTGCAAGAAAACTAAAATATCACATTTAATTTAATCTTAGCAAGAAATAAAGCAATGCTTCATCTTTCTCATCGTTTATAGGTTTTATATTCTTACTGATTCCACCAACTATCACAAATCACTAATTCTAGACTTCTCTCACCTGTTAATACCTGATCAGTGTTACATGCAAACTCCCACCACCACCTCATCCCCGCCCTCATCAATCCCCGGTACTATTGATTTTCTATCGGAAGAAATAGAACGGTCGCATACTCGTTGCATGCTACTGGAAAATTTCCTAGCTTTGAAATTAAATTTCGTCTGTGATTGCTGGCTGAGTTTCCGCTGTGTGAAATAGCCAAGGGATGACTTCTGGGGTCACCGAGAGGTCATTGCGTGTCCGAAATATGCCATTGCAATGTACTGTATTACTACAACTCTGTTGAATCATACGTTGAGAAAAATTGAGAAAAGATTAGAGTTTACATTCCTTTTTTAATTTTTTATATACATTTTAAAATCTGCAAAAAAATGCGTTTCATTTCATCGCAAAACTAATAGATGTATTTTCTTTTAGGAGAATGAGTGATTCAATTCTTGCAATTATTCCACTTTTTTGTTAGGTATGAAGAAATATCTTAAAAAGTGAAAAATTATACTTGAATAGTTGCTCGATTCATTAAAAATTATTCACTATTCATCTGTTTATTTGATAAATAAATTTATCAACTTAATAGGTAAATGCAATTCCTTGAAAAAATCATAAAAAAATTGTTTTTAAAATCAAGCAAAAAACATATTTTTAGACATACATTCAAATGTTATTCCTATTGCATGATGCAACCACTTTAATAATGAACATTTCAGTACTTACTTAGTCATTCCTGCTTAATACTCTATTTATTACATGCATATCTATTCTCGAATTGTCACAGAAACTGTCGCAAACTTATCTATATTAATTAGTTTTTACAATAGTTTTCAAATGCTATCCTATGAAATAATTGAATTATGTAATAACAACTAGGTGATACGAATTCATTTCCTATCAATGCTCATTGTTTTTATTGAAGACCAATTTGCAAACAAATATACTAGCAAAGATTTTAAATTTTAACAAATTTTTGAATAAACTTAAAAATTTTTGCTCAAATATTAGTCAAATTTTTTATTTTCAAGAAATTTTTGAAAATTTAAAAGAATTAAATTTGTTTTGCAAAATTTAAGACGTATATAAATTATAAAATTAAATGTACAATCCTTTAATAATACTAATAAGGAAGAAAATTTAAGAGTTTTTTTTTTTTAAATTTAAAACATTAAGCAATATGTAAATAAAATTTTACCATCTAAGTGTTTTATGTATATGAAAAAAATGATGAAAAGAGAAAAAAAAGAGAGGAAGGAAGGAAGAAAGATAGGGAGAACATAAGAGAAAAGATAAGAAAGATTATTTAGTTTTTGAAAAATTGACTAACCGAAAGCTAAAAGAAGCATAATGGAGGAAGAGAGAGCATAATAAAGATTTAAGCAGATCGATTTCCAAAACTAGCATCCAGGGATGGAATTGTAGATGCATTCATTACTAAATACGGTGAAAAGCTTTCAATCCATAGAAAAAGTAAGAAATAGAATGGAATCTTTAATGCTTACTAGTCGTTACTCTATATATTGCATCAATAGTTGTTTGCATTTCATTTATTCATTTCAAAGGAAAAGTTTTTTTATTTATTTTGGTGAATTGCTAGAACTAAACATAATATTATTTCTTTTACGTCTTCATTACATTTTTTTTTTTTTTTTGAAAGTAAAAATTTTGCATTTTTAATTTACTAATTTTCGGAATGTTTTTTTTTTTTTTTTTCGTTCGTTTTTTAATTTGGTAATCTTCAAGAACGAAAAATTTTTACTTTTTTCTTTTTTATTTTAAAGTAATTTATGAGTAGCAAGAATGTATATATGTGTCACAGTTGTTTAAACAATCATTTTGATTTTTAAATCAATGAATAACTGAAATTATTCAGATAAGTAGTATTACTAGGAAGCTTTTCTGATTTAGAGGATTTGATTTTGATTTATATCGATCCTTAATAATTCACCTTTTTTTTCATCGTAATTATCTAATATCGATGTAATTCATCTTTAGATGAATGCCTTGCATTAGCTTAGGTAGCATAACATTACTTTTTGCTAATGTTAAAAAAATTTTTTTTGAAATTTTAATAAAAATCGACTTTAATTGCTAGTTTTGTTAAAATTTGCATATTTTATTATCACAGTACAATACGCATTATATACTAAAGTGATTAAATATGAAATAAGTATTTTTTGATTTACTAAGTATTTAAGTATTTGATTGATTTTATGAAAAATTGTTCAATTTGCTAAATAATTTTGTTGTATCAATTTCAAAATCAATGGAATATGAGCTCAAAAAAGGAAAAAAAAAAAACTGATTTTTCCTTAATTTTTAAGATCAAAAAAAGAAATTTTTTTTCGCTTTTTAAAATTTGATATAATGATGATCACATTTTCAGTTTTCAATTCTATTATATGTATATAAAAGCATCAATTTCGAGCAGTTCAAAAGTTAATTATTTCTTGAATACAAAATGTATGACATTATCAGTATTATTATGCACATATACAATTATCATTGGACAAAAAATTCATGCACAGCACGTTGAATATGAAATGCCACTGAATCATACGTAAATTATCATTTTTGTTATCTTTTTTCTTTCTTCTTAACATTTTATTATCAAACATTACAGTTACGTGAAACTTATGTAACAACACTATTGCATCATTTTGTATACAAAAATTAAAAGTATGCTTAAATTGACTAACGAAATAATCGATTAAATTATTTCACTTACTCATATTAGCTTATCAAGTTTGGTAAGTAAGTATTATTGCAAATTTATTGGAATATTTTCAAGTCTACAAAAAATTTTATATTGATCTAACATTCTCATACCTACAGGTATGATATAAATTTAATTTCTATAAAAGCAATATTTCTCGAATCTTATTGCATTTTTTTTTTTTTTTTTTTGAGACTCATTTATAAAATATAATTAATTATATACTTAATAATTTGTTGGTATAATATCACAATATGATTATTCATCAATTAATGCAACAACATAATTCTCAAATATATTTAAAAATTTTTTTAATATTTTTGCTAAACTAATGCAAAAGTAATTATTTAAAATAAATCATTTTATATTGGCAGTTTAGTGACTATTATTGCATGATAAGCTATCATTTAGTGATAAGAGCGAAATTACAAGAAGTGATATTGTGGAGAGTCGGCCAATCAACAAGAATAAAACATGCGCAAATGATGCAATGATCATTACCGAACTGTTAAAGAACTATGACAAGCATAAAATACCTGGTGGAAGTAATGTACAAGTTTCTGTTGAGGTATTTCTTACTTATAAAAGTCATATTATTGTGACAGAAATGGATGACAATGATGTTTGAATATTTGAAAAAAATTTTTGAATGCTAAATATTTTATTTTATTTTTATTGAAATAATTTAATGCCTTGACAGATATGGGTGCAGGAGATTTCAAAAATAATCGAAATAACAAGTGAATTTGAGTTAGATATTTATGTAACAGAGAAATGGATTGATCCATCATTGGCATATAGTCATATGAATCCATGCAAAAAGTAATTTTTGAAATAATATTCCAATAATTAGATTTTTAAAAGAAAAGAAAAAAGAAACAAATCTATCAATTTCTTTCATATAATTTTAATCAGTTCAAATTTTGATTTTTTTTTTTCCTTAATAAAATAAAATCTAGTTATAACTTGGAAATTTTTAAAATTTATTTCTGATAATACTGAAATTATTTAATAATTCAGGAATATGTCCGTAGATGGTGGTAAAATATTGCCACAAATATGGAATCCTCATGCATGTTTTGTTAATAGTAAAGATGCATCAATCCATCGTAGTCCGTTCAGTAATATTTTCTTGCAAATTTATAGCGATGGTAATGTATGGCATAATTACAGGTTTGTTTTATAGGAAAAACGAATTTTAGCAAATGATATATGTTTTTAATTATTGAAAAATTTAAATCATAAAATATTAATCAAATTTATGGGACAAAAATGAATATTTGAAAAATTTTTTCTCAAAAGTTTAACTTTAATTATTAACTGTTCAAATTAATTTTAAAATATTAAATGTGTAAACACACATTTTTTGCATGAAATGTTAGATATTCATTAAATAAAGTTAAGAAATTATTTATTATTTTTAATCAATAAAATTTTTAACTGATATAATTGAGTTAATTTATGTAAAATTTAAATTATTTACTATTTGAAATTTTTTAGGATTAAATTAACAGGTCCTTGTTTTAATGCCTTGCGAACATTCCCAATTGATAAACAACGTTGTATGCTATTTTACGAATCATTCAATCATAATTATGATCAGGTATCTCTGTCTTTTTTTTCTTCCTTCCTTCTTCTTATTCTTGTTTTTTAAAAAAAACAAAAACAAAGGAAAAAAACAATCGATCATTACCTGTAGCAGTGATTAAAATACTGATAACAAATTTGATGAGTAATTAATTTATTTAACAAATTGAGAATAGTAATGAAATTGTATAATTTTCCACCCTTTCTTTTTTTTTCTGTTGAAATTTTTCGTAATTATTGCAATTCTCAAAATTTTCTAGTTTAATTAAAAAAAAGATAATTTTTTTAACAATATAAATAACTTTTTGAATGTGAAATGAAATAAACGATGAAATTTAAAAAATAAAACTTTATGTAACTTTGATAATTTCAGGTGGCAATGGAATGGACAGAAACAGCTCCACCAATAACAATTTTAAAAGAAAATATAACATTACCTGATTACGTACTTGTGGATTATACAGCATCTAGTGTTAGACGAGTAAGTTATAAGAATTTATTTTGAAAAATTTAAACAAAATTCGTTAATCTTTGATCATTTCATATTGGTTTCTAAAAATTTTCAGTTCTTTCTGCTTTGCTTTAAATAAATTCTACCAATAAAACAGGTAAAGAATGATGTAATAATTATTTGTTATCTTTTATTTTACATTAGAAAATGTCTTTTTTCTTTTAAATTAATTTGATTACTTTTAAAATTTCATCTAGTCCTTATAGCCGATATCATTGTTTTTTTTTTTTTAAATATTTGGTTAAAAAAGTTGTTAATTTCTATTTTTAGCTATATCCGCCAGGAATGTGGAATGAATTAGTTGCTACATTCACATTTCAACGTCTTTATGGTTTTTATATATTACAGGTTATAAATGATAGCTATTTCATTTCATTTAATTTAATTTCAAAATGTGTAAAGCATTTTTAACATTTTTTTTTTTGATGAGAATTTTTACGAATTCAAATTTTTCTTAATGCTAAATCTTAAATAAGTAAAACACTTTTATAATGTTACAAATTTAGATTTTATAACTTTTAGTGTTCTCGACACTTATAAAGATATTGAAATATGTTTTAATATTTCAGGTTTATGTGCCTGCATATATCTCTGTATTCATATCATGGGTAGGTTAACAATATTTTAATTTAAATTGAGATATTTAAATTGAACTGAAATAAATTGAAACTTATTTAAATTGAAATAAGAAATTTTAAGTTAAGAAAATACTCTTATAAATCAATAAAAATGTGATAATATAGCAGTGTATCTCTTTCTCTCAAGTATTTTATTAGTTCTTACTTTATTATAATCAAAGTTTTCTTATTTCTTGATCAACAAACTTTGTACATAGATATTTGATCCATTTCTACTTGATCTTAATTAGTTCTTTCATTAGAAATAATGTTGCATTTGGTTTATTTATGTTTTAATTCAAAATTTTTGGAAATATACAATTTATTCGTATCTTTGAAAGGAAAATATAATATTTTATATTATTGTAGGTTTCATTTTGTGTCGGACCTAATCTTCCTTCAAGAACAATAGTTGGTGTGAATTCACTTCTTGCCCTAACGTAAGAATATCAAAATGTTTATTCTTTCTTCTATTAAAATTCTATTATATTGCTAATAAGATTTGATAAAATGTCAAGAAAATAAATGTTAAATTAATAAGTATTATTTTATAGATAAAAGTAATAAAAGTGAATAATAAAAAAGTATTTCAAACAACGAATAAATATTTTATACATTCATTTGCAAATTTATTATTAACTTAATTTTACTATTCTTATTTTAGATTTCAATTCGGATCTGTTGTAAGCAATTTGCCTAAAACAAGTGATGTTAAAGGTTAAGTTTCATATATATTAGCATAGAATATGTAAAAGCTAATTTTTAACTTAATTTCACTTCATTTTTTTTTTTAAATTACCTGACTCTCAGTTAGCTTTTTTTTATTTCTTTTTCTATTTAAATGTTTATTTCAGCAATTGATGTATGGATTTTAAGTTCAATGGCATTCATATTTGCATCATTGATAGAACTTGCTGCAGTAGGTTATATGCGACGAAATGGGTCAACTATTACAGTTAGGTTCGTTTTAAATAATTACTTATTTTTAAAGATTTAAATTTACTTTTAAATTTTATATGCTAAAAATTAACTAATTAATAAAAATTACCATCTGAGATGGAATGAACTATTCAAAATTCAAACTATGATAATTTCAAAAAAAAAAAAAAAAATTATTTTTTTCTTCATATAACAACTTTAAAGAAAAACTTCTTTCTATAACTCTTGAAAAATTTCAGATGTAATTGTTCGATATTTTGCTTAAAATGTCCAATATGGACAGCAAATAAATTAGATAGGGTAAGTTTTAAGCCAACATGTAATTATTATTTTTAACTTATTCATTAACAAATATGAAATGAATTTTTTTGGATAATTTCAGATATCATCGGTAATATTTCCAGCTTTTTTTGTTATATTTAATATATGGTATTGGTTTTTCTTTCTTGGGTAAGTATACTTTTTCTTATTTTACTTCACATTTTTTATTCTCAATCAGTTTGAAAAAAAAAAAAAAAAAAAAGTTACTTATTCATATCATTCAGCTACCTCATTTGTAATTTTCTATTATTAACTAAAATGTCGCTTAAATGCTTAAATGCCTTTAACTCATTTCCAAATTATCGGAAAATTCTCAATGAAAAATCTTTTAAAAATAATTTAAATTAAAAAAAAAAATCATACTTCATTAATATGCTTTGATGATAGAACAGAAAAAAACTGTCATATTTTAATCGAAAATTTTAAAATAGATTTTTTCTTTAGCTTATCAAATCTTTTAGATCTTCCAAATATGTCATTATTCATTCTAAACTTAATTTCTTATTTCATATGCAACTTTTTTATTTTTACTTTTAAACTTACACATTGTTTATGGAAACTATTAGCTTCAAATTTTTTATACTTATCAGTATTTAAAAGTATTTTTTTGCATACTTATTACTATATTAGTCTTTTAAAACTTTTAACATTCTTAGCAATTATCTTCTTACCTACCATTTTTATTCCTTTCCCTCTCTCTCTCTTTGTTTCTCTCTCTCTCCCTCTCTCTGTAATGATCAATTTGCTTTCTTTCTGCTTATTTTTTTAATTATATGTTTCATTTATTGAGTGAACTTTCATATTTTCGATTAGCAAAGAAATCATTGGGAAATAGTAAGAAATTTTTTTTTTTAAAAATAAAGAAATTAAGAAAATTCATGAATAGATGCTTGAAAATTTTCTAAATTTAATTTACTTATTTGGTTTTGCTTTCTTAATTTTATATCATTTATTAATTTTGATAATGAACATTAATTTATTTGTTTTGTTTACATATTTACTTTGTCCATTAATCTAAATTAATTTTTTATCCCATCAAATATCAAATTTCATTGAGTAGTATAATATGAATTCCAGGCGAATAAATTGATGCAAGAGAAGCAAACTTTGCTGTTATTATGATTGATGTCATTTATGTAAATTTATTTCGTTGAAAAATAAATCTACAGTATGTTTAAGAATAGAATTATTGATTTAATCAGGTATTCACTATTTTCTATTACAAAATATAAATTTCTCTCAAATTAATGCATTTGAAAAAAAAAAATAGTAATAATAATTAATGATCTAATTTCTAATGAATGATTAAAATAGAATTAGAAAAATTTCGCAGTATTTTCATTTTGTAAAATTTTTATCAAAAATGTACTTTCTGAGATGGAATTAAAATTGCACACAAACCATTATTAAATTGCAAAAATATAAATAAACAAATGTAAAGAAAAAGCAAATCGTATTTCTTATAAATAATCTTTTCTCTCTCTGTTTCCTTTCTTTTTCCCTCTCTCTCTCTCTCTCTCTCTTTGGTAACAGTTTACAAATTAGATGAATGAAATTTACCTTCATTAAGCCGACCGGTATATGCGAAATTTTCAATTTCAATAAAAGAAAAAAAAAAAAAAACGAAAAAATCTTTTCAACATTTAACACAATTAAAGCGAATTATCAATAAAATGTGTTACTGTAATTGAATCAAACTTGGATTAAATTTCAAATTAAATGAAAAAAAAAAGAAGATTTAAGCAATTGAAAAGGATTAAAAGCAAAATCAATACTCTACCACTTGCATTCATTGTAATCATTCTGGGTAATTAATTAATTAATTAATTGTAGGAATATTATTTAATGGATGAAATGTTGAACAATATTACCTAAAAAACTGATAAAATTCAATTGAAGAATTCAAATTCGAGCTTGGAATAATCTTTATGATAACATAATCAAACGTGATTAACGTGATCTCATTTTTATTACTTTTTTTCAAATTAATTTTAATAAATTTTAATGGTTAAACTATCTTTGTATGTTTATAATTAATAATGTCCTATGGAAATTGAATAAATAAGTCAGTAAATTAATCCATGTGATTATCTGTTATGATTTTAAAACATTTTACACTCAATAATTTTAAGCGACAATTGCGCTCATTTTATCAATACTGCATTGCTAAAAGCATGCATAAGAAATATTTTAGGAATTTCAACAAGAATGAAATTGTAAATTAACAAACTTAATTGCAAACTTCAAAATTGAACGATTAATTAAAATGTGAAAATTTTGAATCAAATTTTTATTTAGTAATTAATAAGTTAAAATTCATTTAGCATCATATGTACAAACAAAAAATAAATCTAACTTCTCAAAACTTTTTTATTGTTCAATAATTTCACGTACATTTTGAAGATATTGTGCATGATCAGTAATGATTTTTTGATCATTCTACTTGATCATTCTATTCTACTGATCATAAATTATAATAATGATCGTATTTTGATCAATATGCATAAATTGAATAAAATTTTTTTTTTTTTTTACAAATATCATTTCGTAATGAAATGAATGAAACTAAAATAATTGAAAGAATTTACAATAAATCAAAATCAAAAATAATGAAATGTAATTTCAATATATTATTTATATATGTGTCATTTTGTCATCTTCTCATCATCGTGGAAGTAATTATACTTTCTGTTCCTTTTAAAGATTGTGTAACAATAAAGAAGAAATAAATTTTTGTTTATTTATTTTTTCTTGTGGCACAGAAAATTTGATGAAAAATGATAGCTGATAAAAAAAAATTTTTAAAATAAAGGTCAAATAATGAATGAAATAAATGGATGAGAAAAATAAAAATTTAAATTTGAGCAATTTTGATCAATTTTTAAATAGAAATACACTTTGATGCATTTTATTAAATTTATTGAATATACATTCCCGGATATAAAAAACGAATTGTCGTTGAAAATTTTAGAAAAATTATTCTTGTTAAATAGTGACCTTTCTTTTTTTTTTTTCCTTTTATAATTTTAATTTTTCTTTATTTAACATACATCAATGCGTTGATCTGTCCTATACAATTTATTTTTGTCATCTGTCACAATTCGATCAAAAATGATTCGTTATTGTTGCATAGAACAAGAAGAGACAACACGACGACTTTTTTTTTGATTTTCGGTCAGTTTAATGTGTGACCACTTTGAAATATTTCGCTTTCCTAATTTGCTTCAAATATCACACATACGACAATTGCGCTTCTAAAGGCTTTTTCACAAACCTGCAATACGTCTTTCAACAATTCATTGATGATATGCGCTATTAATTTTATGATTTATCTAACTCAACTTTATGATATCATTTTAAATTCAAAAAAAAAAAAAATCTCTTTATTTTTTTTTTTTTTTTTTGAAATCATTTTTATGCTTTAAAGTAAATTCAAGAAAAACAACAGGTAAATCATTTAATTGTAAAAATAAAAAAAAAAATTAAAAATTGAAATGATAGCTAATATGATTAATTAGATTATCAAATAATATCAAATAGTATATTTAAATAATACAAAAATCATAGATAGTTCTGTATCAGTTCATATTTAAATTTTAAAAGAAACATAAAATTTCCAACTTTTTAATTCATCTATACATTATACATTTGAATTTAAATCTTCAAAAAAAAAAAAAAAAAAAGGAAAAATTATCATTGCTTTTATCACAAGAAGAAATGTTATCAGACATATTAACACTAATTTAATCAGTTTATCAAATATAAACTGATCATTTCTTCATTTCCTGTATTAAAGACTGGCTGAAGAAATATATGCGTGTAGATGGGGCGGTGGTAATCGATGTTTGAATTCCAGATTTTTCGATTGAAGAACTCATCAAATCTGCCGATGCTGTAAAATTTAACATCGATAGAATATAGTTGTGTAGTGTGGACAAAGGCGCATCTTCTAGTTTCCTTTTTCATTTTCTGATGACATAGCCGCAATCTAATTATATTTCCATTAATTCTAAATATTAAGATTGTAATGCTCAAATAATCTTATAATCATAACTAAATTATCATCCATTTTCACTCTAATATTTGTTAATAAAAAATAAATTATGCTAAATAATGTAATTCAAAATTGTTATGTAATAAATAATTTTTTTTTTCTTCTTTAGAATAATTATTTTTATTTAATTAAGCATTTTTAGTTCTATGCTAAATAATTTTAATTTTTCCTCAAAACTGGCATTTTATTTGTATTATCATTCATTTGATTTAAATAAATATGAATTAAAACACTCACAAACCATTAACTTTTCACTATTTTAATTTATTTTAAATTTATATATGCTAATTATTATTTGACTACTGAAGTGCAAATAATAAATTTGTTTTTTCTTCATCACAACTATTATTCACAATTTATCAAAGATATGAAATTTAAATTTCATCTGATATTGTTTCCACATCATTTGTAACAAAATTGAACATATCCTCAACTGTCCACCACAAATTTTGTCATCAATTTTAATATTATAGAATTGATTATATTTGTAAACACTAAAATGTAAACAACAATAACAACAAATCATTGAAAGCAATTTTATTATAAATAAATGGTAGTAAGTTAGAAAAAATTATTGTTTTATAAATGTTTAATTATTCACTTAGTTATATCATTATGTCATGTATCATTGCTTCTATTCTAAAATTTAATTATAAATTTCATTTGATTAAAACATAAAATGAAACTTTGCATTGATGAAATTTCAGTTTCAAAGGATAACGATTGTATCGCTATAAGATTTTTGAATGAAATGTTATCATTAACATGTATGATAATGTTTTGCATTATTTTGAACATCTATGCTCAGGTAATTAATACTAATTAATTTAGTAATTATTAAATTTTCCACTAATTAAAGTTTTGTAAAGTTAGCTCGTTAAGTGATACGAATAATATGCAAAGTATATTTTCTAAAATATAGTGACGAAGATGGAAAAGGTGAGAATTGTTTTGTTTCTAATTAAAATGATATATGTAGAATTTAATTAAAATTGAATAACTTAAAATAATTTGAGACTTAATTATAACATAAAAACAAACAAATAAACAAAACAAACATTAGTTGAAAAAATATGAAATGTAGAAGGTCCAAGAAATCAATGTGACATTGTTGGTGTGCAGTTGACAACAATCTTTTCGGAGAAAAAAATTGATTATAAAAGAAATTTTCTCTTTTCTTTTTTTATGTATTCTATAAAATAAAATGGGTAAAAATATAATAAAATCAGTGATTGTTTATTTCCATAATTTCTTTATCATCCTAAATTATCATATTATCAGTTTTATCTTCCTAAATTATTACACTAACAGTTTTAATATTTTTCGAGATATCCTTTTGAAGTGTTTTCAAAACTTTTATCAAAATTTCCAAAACAAATTTTGCTTATCACTTTTGTGATTTAAAATTCACTTTCATTTTAAATTTGATTTATTCGTAATTCTATTCCCAAAATCCTTTGTATTATTTTCCTAACATTTTCACTTTTTACTTTATTATTGTTTAATTTCATTAAAGCTAAAAATTTTTTTTATCAAAATTAGCAAAAATATTAATTATTTGAGTAACTTATTATAAATTTCTTCATCAATTATTTTTCTTCAATTGAGAAATAAAAAAAGAAAACAAAATCGATAAATTGTATATTCGATTTTTAATTTCGATTTCTTTAATGTTTTAAAATACACTAATATTAATCAAAAAAAAAACAAAAACAGAGACAAAAAAATATAAAAAAAATTAGATCAAACAAATTTAATTATCAATCGTTGTTATTTATAGTAAAAGACTTTCTCTTATGACTTAATTAATAATTTCGATTTAAATTGAAATTTCAAAATTTCATCAATAATTTATGATTATGCATGAAAAAAAAAAGAAACGATAAATTTTTCATTTTCCCAATTTTTTTGAACAAATTAATTTTTTGTCTTTTTTTTTTCTTTCAAAGAAAAGAAAAATTAATCTTTCATATTGTTTACTAATTAATTATTATCAACAAAAAAAAAAAAAGAGAATTGAAAAATTCTTTAACATTTAATAATTTTAGAAACATTCTTCTTCTGAACAACTACACGATGATTCACAACCACGTATGTTTGTAAATTCAAAAAGTGAAAGTGTCCGAAATAATGCGCTTGTTGTTAGTGCACAGTAATTTTTAATTCTTTTTATCATTTCTTTCTTTCTTTCAGATTAAAAAAAGAAAAAAAAATTCATTTTTTGTTAAATTCATTTTTAGATTATATTTATTTATTTTTTTTTTTTCAAATTTTAACATTTTTAATTTGTTTTGCTATTTGAATAAAAATTTTAGACCACCAACAATTTTTCAAGTTCCAATGTTAGCTGCATTTAATCCATTTCAATTAAAACATCAAAATTTAGAAGCAAAAGGTTAAATTTTATCTTAAAGTTTTTTTTCTTCGATTTTTTTAAAATTATTTTTGAATTATTGAAATGGTAATGTTATCATTTCATTTAGATGCTTCAAGTCAATTAACTGATTGGTTTCAACCATTTCGTGTCAATTTATTCAGGCCATTTTCAATATCCAATACTGATACCTTACTTGGTACCGTACAAACATACCCATTAACAACCAATTTAACACACCTTGGTAATTTTGGTAGATTTATGGATAGTAATAGTTTTCTTTTAAAGGTTATCATTTTTACTTTCTTCTTTTTTTTTTTTTTTTTTTGCTATTTAATATAATTTAAAGTTAAAAAAAAAATGAAATTTAAGAAATGATAATAAAGATATATTTTAAATTGCGATTATAAAAAATAATTGAAAATTAGAAATTATAATTTATAACATATATTATCGCTTAATAAACAACAAATTCGTGCTGTGAAAAAAAAACAAAATTTTAATTTTTAATGATAATTTTTAATTTAAAAAAAATATTTATAAAAAAAAATATTTAAAAAAAATATTTAAAAAAAAAAAATATATATGTAAAAGATTTGCATTATTTTTTACAATTCTCATTTCATCTCATTATTCATCTAAATCGTTTATTTTCATTTTTAATTTTGATCTTTTTTTTTTTTTTTTTTTTTCAAAATTCCTGGAATTTATCTCAAATTTCAATGATTGTCAAAAAAAAAAAAAAAAAAATGCGACATTTTCTTGTTTTCTTTTCAATATCTAACATTTTCTTCTCTTTTTCAAAATACTGCAAGAAATCACTTTATCAATTATAGCAGGTTTTTTTCAGAAAAAAATTTCTTTTTTCTTTTTTTTTCTCCAGGATTTGAATGATTGATGAAAAATTTTTTTTTTTTTTTTGTCATTTAATTTAATCATAAGTATCGTTTATTCTAAGTGTTCAATTTAAATGGTATTTGAAGATAACGAAATTTTATCGTTGAAAATATTTTTGCTTAAATTTAAGAAAAAAAAAAAAAAAGAAAGAAAAATCATTTGTTAATGTCTCTTAGTGACATTTAAATTTATGTGCTTTATTTTATAAATGCATAATATAATTTTTTATAAATTTTAATATTTTTAAAGTTACTATTTTTTTTTTTTAAATATAATAAGGAAAAAAAAGTTTTAAAAAGCATTTTATGTTGAATTTTTTTCAACAAATGTTTCAAAATTTATTGCGAATTTAATTAAAATACAACATTTTAAAATTATGTAGAATGTAGAAAGAATAGTGGAAATTTTCAAATCGTTTAATTTAATTTTAGCACTAATTCATCAATTCATCCATTCAAGTTTTTAGGATTAGATAGGTGAGCATTCAGGCTTTTTGCATTCATCAAAATATTTGAAATAAATGAAACAAGATACTATGAATGAATGTATTTTTAAATGAAACCTGATTTTATTTCTAACTAATTAGCATTGTTCATCACAATTCATACGTCATTTTATCAGCTTTTAAAGCTTTTTATTATTTCAGAAAGGCATTATTGCTCAATTTGTCTCACTTTTAATAATTTTTCTTGTTTGAGAAATGTAAAAATATTTACTCAGAATGATAATTTAATGTTTAATTGTATTTAACACAAATAGCGCAAAATGAGAAATTACATAAAGGAATAAATTCAAAAAATCTTCCTTCTTTCTGATAAACATATATAATTTGAAATAAATTTGCAAAATAAAATATATTATTAACAAAAATAGTTGATAAGAAGATGGATAAAAAAAAAAGAAATTCTATTCATAATTAATAATAATTAATTAAATTCTGAATTTAACCAATAAAATTTATTTGTTTACTTTTATGTTTGTCATTATATATTTACATTATATTATCAAAAAGATCTTTTAATTTCAACCATTTTTATATCCATGCATGTTTACAATTGTTAACTAAATAAAGTAATGTAAACAAGTTTTGCCCATCTTTCCTAAATAAATATACAAACAATTATTATTTAAGCATAAATTATTATGAATGTTTGAATTTTGATTATTCGATTTAATTGCAATCTAAATTTTACATCCAATTTGTATTTATCATTGTTATAACGGTTCATTTCTTTGAAATTAATTTAAATTTATCATTTAGTAAATCACATTCTTCACTCAAATTTTTAAGGAAAAATTTTTTTTATCTGAGATTCGAAAAAAAAAAATTAATTATATTTGGAAAATAATTATGTATATTTAATATTTAATTTGCATTTACATATATTTGCATAGAAAAAGAGATGAAATTATTATTTTTTTCAATGCTATCAGTCATTTTGTTAAAAATATATTTGTTTGCCATTTAGAATTTTAAAATTATTTCGATCCAAATTTGTATTTTTTCTTTTCAAAATTAATTTATGACAAAATCGTTTTTGTGTGTTTGATTTTTCGTTTTACTATTTTTTTTTGTTCGTTTTTTAGTTGGCAGATTATGATAAAAAACATCAGGAAATAATGAAAAATGCTAATTTTGGGATAAATGCGCCAAATGGTTTAATTATTCCCGAAAAAATAAATAATGAAAAGATTAAAGGAGATGAAATAACACAACAAAATACTTTTACAACTGCTACAACAGACAATGAATTGCAAGGTGTTTTCTTTTTTCATCTGTTTTATGTTAAGAAATAATAAAATTTAATTTCGAATAATTTTCTAACAAACTTTAGCTTCAAGGAATTTAATTACTTTTTAATCAATTAAATTAAATGTGTGAAAAATATTTTTACAATCTAAATTGTGTATTAACTATAATTTGCTGAAGAATGAAAAAAGAGGAGCAAAAATGAATGGTACTATTAGAATTGAATGAGACATAAGCGCCAACTGGTCAGTCAATAGTAGCCTCTAAGTGGACATTGCTATAAATAGATTTCTTTAGAAAAAGTGAATTAGCAACATTTTAGACTTCTTAAAAGTTACTTAAACATTTACTTTATGTGCTAAACAAATTTTTAAATGTGCTAAATGTGCTAAACAAATTTTTCGTCAATAATCTTTTATATGCATTTTTAAATTATTGTTTATTTCTCAGATGATAATGTTACTGATACCACAGAAACTGCAATCAATTATTATGATAGTGATTTCGAAGTGAAAAAGATTCCGGAAATGGAAGAAAATGGTGAAGAAGTAAGTAAGAAAGAAAGAAAAAAGTCAAATGAGATATTTAAATAGTGGATAAAAATTAAAAGTAAAAATAAATTGAATTAAACAAAATTTTTGATAATTTAAATTAATCCATTGGCATAGTTAAATTAATGCACTTAATTAGTGCAAATTAGCATAATTAAATTACCACAATTTATTATCAAATTGTTAATTCTCAAATTGCTAATAAATCAGTATGTGAAATAATTTTTCAGATTGCTACAGAAACTGATAGAAATAACAATGAAAATTTAATGGAAAAAAAAACTTTCAAAAATAAATTCAATGATCCATTTTGGAAACATTTCCTACAAATTAATGTAATTCATATTTTGTTTACATTTTTATTTATTATTTCATTTTATTTAATTTACATTTAAAATGTTCAAATTTTTATTCATATTTAAATTTTTATCCTTTTTTTTCCATCACATTTTCAAGATTGAAAATCATATTTGAATTATTATATAAATTTATATAATTTGCAAAAAAAAATTTTTCAGGAAACAGAAAATACAACACAAAATTCATTGGATGATTTAAAAGAAGTGGTCAATACACTGAATCTTTCACAAGCACAAACTGCTACTTTTGTAAAAATTATCGAAAAAGTAAGATTTTCTTTTTTTTTAAAAAAAAATTTTTTTAAACAATTTTATAAAAATTTTAATATTAAATAATCTATTGAAAGAGAAAAAACTTTTTTTGTTGTTTTGATTACAGATTGTTGATGATGAGCTTAAACGACGTCATAATGAAGAATTATCAAAGTCAAAATTCACTCAAACATCAGTGAAACCAAAATTGGCTGCTGCTAAATTCCATGAAATCGATAGTGAAACTGCAAAAGTTGCTTATTTTTTTATTTTTATTAAAAAAAAAAAAAAAAAGAGAAAAGAGTTCATCAAATATTGACATCAAAAATTTCCATTGCGAGAATTTCTTGCAATTCTCGAGAGAGCAAAAATCGATATAAGCAAAGAAGGAAATAACAAATAACAATTTCATTTACTTATATTTGGTCACGGAAAACTAGTTGAAATTATAGATGGGATAGATAAACAGAAAAAAAAAGAAAAGGTAAAATTAGATTATATTATCATCAATTCACATTCAGTGGTTCAATTAATACAAGTAATTTGGATAAAGGTTAATCTAAACATTTCACTGTAATGACTTTTTGATATCGATCGATCAATTGTTTAAAAAAAAAAGTTTAGGATATTGATGATCGTCATGATCAAGAAATTAGACCACATGAAAAACTTACGGTAAATACACGATTAAGTTTTAATGATCAACATATCATTGATGATTATCGTAATGGTCAAGATGAAATTCCGGAAACATTAGCTGCAGAATCATTAAAATCAGATTCTCGAAAAGAAGGTTAAATGTTTTTTTTTTGGAAATAATATTTCCAATTTAAAATTTTATGGTATATATCCATGAGACAGTTATATGTCTTAGAAAAACTAAGCAACTTTAGTGAAATAGGCTATGCTAACATACGAAAAGATAACTGAATAATTAATTAAGAATTTCTTGATGAGAAAAAAATCAATTATTGATTAAATGGAAATAATTTAAATTAAGGAAAAAGCTATGACACAATAAAATTGTCTAATGGTTATTTATGACCATTGGAATATTTTGAAAAAGATTTAAATATTATTAAAATGAATGACAAGAAAAAGCAATGATTAGTGACATAGCCATATTAAACAAAGGATAAACTAAACTTTCCTTATCACAAATGAGAGATTGATAAATAGCTGATAAATGAGTAATAGTTTCACAGTTTCCTCTAAGTCAAACACAACTTTGTGTTGTAGAAGAAATTGAGTATTATTATAATTTTTGTTGAATAAATTATTTTATTGATAAATGATAATTATTAGCATTAAAATTGAAATTTGATTTATTTCAGCTAGAAAAAAGACAGATTATATGGTACGTGAACAAGCTGAGTATGATCGGTTAATAAGCGGAATTACTGATGCAACTCCAGAATCCGGATCTGATTACTTGGAGACTAAAAATGGCCAAGCATTCAATCGAGGATTGATAAGAACAACAGTTAAAAGTACAAACACTGAAGAACCACAAAGTATGCAAATATTACAAATGATAATTAGTAATAAAATATAAAATTATATCACACTAATTTTTCTCCTTACTTACTACATTGCTTGGAATGTTTAACTTTTTAATTAAATTTTCTTTTTTTACTAGTTTAAATCTTTTTGATAAAAAGTGATAATATGATCAAAAAATAAATTTCAACTTTTTTTTTCTTTTGATTAAATGATAACATTTAAATCTTTGTTTATTATTTAAATTGATAAGTATGAAATTATTTGCACTATTTATCAAACTAACTGATGAAAAAATTTCCAGCCACTAGTTCAACAGGATTACAATATGAGAAAACCGGATTACAACCTGTTGAAGAATCGTATATACCGAAGAGAACAATGACAGTCTACGGAAAAGTATGAATTTCAAAAAATTATATAAGAGTTTGATCATAAACAAAATGATCATTCTTCATACTAATCATCGCATCGAGAAATTTCAATTTCTTATTTTTTTTTTTTTTTTAAAAAAAAAGACATTTTATTTTAGGTGACAACAATTCCAAGGACAGTATTTGAACGACAAGCAGAGGATTTTCGAAGTAGATTGCTTGGAATGAACGGTTTCGGTGATATCATTAAGGCATTAAAACATGGCAAAATTGGATTTTTTGAAAGGTTTTTAAAAAATTTTCAAATTTTATTTTAAATTTATAATTGTCACACTGTTTCATTATGAAAATATTTTTACATCATATTTGCTTATAATCTTTTAATGGAAAATTGTATTTCAGGAATTGAATTATGGGATAACATTTTGACATTACCTAAAATTGTCCCATTGCAAGTGTCAACGATCATTCTGATCAAAAAGTCAACGTTCAATGAGCTTTTTTAATTTATCCTAAAAAAAATTTTGATGTAACACATATTTTTTTTTTGTAAATATAGATTATGAATATTTGAAAGATTATTGAAATTATTTGAAAAATTTTTTCCTTCTGTATTCTCATAATATTATGCAATTATTTACTGTTATTGTTGAAAGACTAATCACATATAAGAATCAGAAATATATTATAAATTTTTATTTTTGTATTTAATTTTTATCATTGAAATTTTTAAATGTTAAAAAAAATATATTAGACTTTGACAAATAATTTCGCACAAAAAAAAAGATTTAAAAACAACTTTTACAAAACGTATTAATAAGATTTTAATGAAAAGAATCAGTTTAAATTCATTTATGATAATTCATTTATTTACTTCAATAAGTTTAACGTTGTAACATTTCCGGTGTTTCTCCTTTTTTTTTCTTTTCATTTATTATCAAAATTTTTTTGTTTTATCATTTAATCAGTTATTGTAATTATTGCATTTATGTTAATTTTATTATCATTAAATTTTCATATGCAAATTATTCTATCACTATAAATAATAATTTCAGTCATAAATATCGATAAAGTGATTAGCTGGATTTTATGATCAAAATCAAATTTAAATTTATCTAAATTTTTTTTTTTAAAGGATAGAATCTGATTAGTTTGATATTTTGGACAGATATAATTTTGATTGACCATTACATATGCTTTACTTTTTTTTTCTTATTTTTTATTTTTTGGTTTGTTTGCTTTCATAGTATTACATTTGGTAATCATTTGCAGTTAGTGTTGAAATTGCTAAATTAGATAATTTAGAGTGGACAATGGACAATGGTCAGTGTCTGTTTTCCTAGAAATAATCATTCAGTGATTTCTGCTACTTTGCTGCTCAAATGTCATTAAGCTTAATCCATTAATGTATAAACAATACAATTAGAATATAATAAATTTTATATCTTCTCGAGCAGACATTATAATTACATTATAAATTCATAAATTAACTTAATTAAATATTAAAATAAATTAGATTTATATAAGCTTAAATTATTTAATTTTTTATTTGTTAATTATTGCATAATTTACTTTCTTTGTATTTTTTAACAACTCTAAGTTAAGAGATTACTGAGTTATAGCATGATTCATTGACAATTAAAAGAACTTCTAATAAAATTTAAAGTTGAACTAAAGGAAAAATACTACCATCATATACCATTCTTTTTGTTAGCAAATAGTCATTGCTGAACAAATCTGTTCACAATATCACTGATAAGAAAGGATAGAATAATTTTTATTTTTGCATTAGTTTTAATAATTAAAAATAAAAATTCTTTCAAGCTAAGAAGCATTTAATTCATTTTTCGGAATTGTTAAATGATAAAGAAGAAAGTAATAAAATAAATAAAATTTAAAGCTTTAAAATGAAAATGAAGCATTATCAATTGATTTATATTTTTCATTTTAGTTTCAATTATCTAAAAAACACAATATATATACTAACATGAAATGCTAACAAAGGTAAATATAGTTGTACTAAGGTAAATAAAGTATGTATGGTAGACAATCTTCTGTTCTGATAAGATCAAATGATTAAAACGTTATTTCGTATTTTGCTTGTAACAAATTTGAACATTGTTTCAATGTTTTTTTTTTTCTTGAATTATTAGAATGAATGAAAAGAGTTTAGTTTGAAAATTTGTTATTGAAATTGTATCGTTCATTGGTACTAAAATGTGAACTTTAATAAATTAAATATCAAAATATTAATGCCTTAAATTGCTAATAATTTCATTTATGCAATAATTCTTTTTAATTAATTAAGTGCAACGATTATTTTTTTGTTAGCATCAATATATTATATTATTTTTGCAAATTGATTTTGAAATCATTTATTTGTATATATGTATGCTTTCATAAATAAATACGATGAGAGTGATTTGAAAAATAAAAGTAGAAATAGTCAAAGCAGAGATATATATTAGCAAAATGTCAACTACTGTGACTGTCACCATACAATGTTATCATATCCTTTGTTTAGTTTTAATCTATATCTCATCTCATAGTGTTTGCTTTTTATTATCATCGAAACGATTATTTACAAATAGTTCATTTTGAATTTTTTTTTTATAGAAGTTATTAAGCTTGATTTTGATTAATTATTTATCAGATTAATTTAAATTTTGAATAATTGAACATTTTTTTTAAATTATTATTTATTATTATTGCGATTGCTTTAAAAAAAAAAAAATCACATTATATCATTTAATCATTGATATATATATATATATATATATATATATATATATATATATATATATATATTATATATATATATATATATATATATATATATATATATATATAGCTATATTATTTTTATTTTAGAATTAAAAATTCTGTTTGTGATATTTTTAAAGTTTTCAATCGCATCGTATCATTTAATCATTTATACAACAATTTTATTTTTTATTTCAGAATTAAAGTAGGCATCCTATAGAAAGAAATAAAAAAAGTTCTGATAATTAAATTTTATAAATCAAATAAAATTAAGTTGAAAAACTAAACCGAAGAAAGTTTTTGCTTTTTAATCAATCAATATTCAATTCTTATGTATTGTTTGATAACTTTTTTTTTTATTGGAAGCAATTTTAAAATTTACTTAAAAGATGAATTTATCTTTAGTTAGATTTTTTCTTAATCATTAAATTGATTTACTGATAATTGCACGATTAAATTCATCTAAAGTGTTTAATGCTAATGATTAAAATTTAAAATTTTTAATTGTGTTTAACAAACTGAAATTCTGCATTGCTATTTGTTTGGCGCAAAATGACAACGATAATATCAATCATTAATATTCATTACATAGCTAAAATTTATTTTATCACTAAATTGAGTTACTGACAGTTACGCGATTAAATTTATCAAAAATGTTTGATAAATTAAAATGCATTAATGAAATTTGTACTAAATGATTAAAATTTCAAATTTTTAATTATATTTAAAGAGTTGGAATTTCACACCTGTTATTTGATTGGCGCAAAATGACAAAGATAATAACAACTATTAATATTCAATGTACTGCTAAAATGCCACTTATGGAATGCATTGGAAATGGTAAGTCATTAATAAATTTTTTTCTAAATTAGAAAAAATTTAATGACTGAATATAAAAAGGCAATTGCAAATGTTAGTTTTATTTTTTATTATTTTTTAAAATATTTTTATCATATTTATGCACATTAGTTTCCATTTTTACCTTATTATCAGTTCAGTTTACAATGCTTTTTTTTTCATAGGCAATCAATGATTTCAAATGTTTATCACTTCACTATTCTATTTGATTCGATTCGAAATAATTAAAAAAAGTTATTTAAATCCGTTCCAATTATTAATTCCATAATTATTAAAAATATCGCACAAAAGATTGCAAAATTTTGATAGAAAAAAATGAAAAAAAAAAATTGATTCTAAATTTTTTTAATTTACTAAATATATTTATGCATGAAAGAAATACCTAATGCTAAAAATTGTTGTCATATGGTAGAATAATATAATTCTTTTTTTTTAAAAAAAATGGCATTTATTTTTTTCAAAAAAACTTTTATTTCTATCTAAATATATTTGTCAGTTTTTCTCTTTTCAAAGGAAAAAGAAAAATAAATTAAATAAATGCAAATAAATTATAATAAATTTTTGTGATATATATTTATTTCTTTTTTTTTTCTTCTATAATTTTCCATAAATTTTGAAAAAAAAAATATATAAATTAAACAAATGATAAGAAGAATTGAAGAGAAGTAGAAAGCGAATAGTAATTAATAATTACATTAAAGCATCATTTTATTCATTCTTCTCCGAAATGATTGAATTTAAAAAAAAAAAAAAATAAAATTTTAAAACTTATAGAAAATTATAGATGAAAAAAAAAAAAAAAAAAGAAAAAGGAAGAAAACATTTCAATGAAGGTCATTACAGTAGTGCATTTTTTTTCTCTCCCTCCCTTTCTCTCTCTCTCTCTCTCGAAATTTCCAAAAATATTGTGATCTCTCTTTTCTTTTTATTTTTATTAAAATTTTCCATTTTCCAGTTTAGAAGAGTATAAAGAGGGAGAGAGAGAGAGAGAAAAAAGAAAAGCTTAACTTTATAATAAATAATTTCTTCATTTTTTCTCTTTTTTTTTTTTGTTAAGTTCAATAGAGAAATAAAAAAAAAAAAAAAAAAGTTAAAAAAGATAGAAAAATAAAGAAAACCTGTTTATTTACTTATTTATTTTGGCAATAATTTATTCCAAAAATACAATAAAATAGCTTGCATTCATATCTATTCAAATATACTTTTATTATTTTATTCTCTTATCATAATTTAAATTTATCATTGTAACATTCATTATCACTCTATCACTTCATAACTGATAACATTTCTCATATTTCATTTTAAGCAGATTCAATTGCATTACATATTTAATTAAATGCTTAGTATTTTATTATTTGTTATAGAACATTTTAAAATGCAATAATTTGAAATTTTGTTAGCAAACAATTTATTAAAAAAAAATTAAATACTGCAAAAATATTAGGAGAAATCTCGATGTTATATGCCAACATTGATTTTTGTTTGTTATCGTTACTGTCACCATTGTCAAACATTGTCATTCGTTTTTCTTTTTTTCTTTATTACAATACAATACACTTCAGTCATTCATTTAATACTTTGTTTTCCTATAAAACGATGAAAAAACAAAACAAAACAAACAGATCGTTCCGCTCAAAAAAAAACGAAAAAAATTCCATAATTTCTCGGTTATCTCTCTCTTTTCTTTCTCTCCCTCTCTCTCTCTCCCTCTCTCTGTCTCTCAAATTCATTTCATATTAGCAATCAATATTTACTGTTCAACAAAATAGAAAGAAAAAATTTTACTGA